GGTGTGCGCCGAATGCCATCATCATGGTTTCCAGATCATCGCGCGGTCGTTGGAAGATCGTGTAAAGAAACGAAGGACCAGAAAAAGAAGAAGAAGAAGAAGAGAAGAGAAGAGAGTTACTTCGATTTGGATTTGGTTTCCTCGCAGTAGTCCGTCGATCTGCTTCTCTTTCTGATCCCAGAGGAGGAGGAGGAGGAGGAGGAGGAGGAGTAGCTACTTGTTGGGCGAGGAGGTTTGGGGGATCATGATTGTGTCCACTGGCGAGGGAGGGAGTGAGTCAGAAAAATGGAACACTCACGCGCTCTTGCGCTCAAATGCCTCGCGCAACATATTCCCGGCTCATCATTGTGAAGTGCGCCTGCGCCTTTGCAGCAAAAAGTTTCTGCTTTAGCGGCCCGTCCATCATGTCACGAAGTGAAGTTCCTGAGGGTTTGGATGAACAGCCACACTTCGTCTTCTGCTGTGTATGAGAGAGCATGTTTGACAAATGCTGGTCAAAGTGGACGTCCCAGGACATGGTACTCTTGGCGCCATGAATCAATGACTATTTGACAAATAATTCATGGACTGGTCTTCGAAGCTATGTCATCCATGACATAATCCTCCTTCCTCGTCCTCCTCCTCCACCACCTCCTCCTCAACAGCAACCACAACGACAACAGTTTCTGAGTGGCAGCGGAATATTTCATGTCCTTTCCTTTCCTTTCCTTTCCCTTTTCCTTTTTCTTTTTCTTCCCTTTTTTATGTCCTCAGCTCTCTTCCGGTCATCTCATGGAGCTGGTCGCAGCTCCCTCCCTCCCTCCCTCCCTCCCTCCCAAATGCAGCTCAGATATGGAGTGTGCGACGTTTGAGGGATCTCTGTCTGCCTTGAGGATGTTGTGGTGGATGAGAGTGATTTGGGGAGGGGGCGGGATAACAATGATGTTTTGTATTTGTGGGACTTTGATTTGGAATATCATTATATTATGGGATATGGTGGGCACAAGTGGGCGCAATTGGACTCATTGAGGAGTGGTGGTGATAGTAATAGTAATTGTTGTAGAAGAAGGAAGAAGAAGAAGAAGAAGGTTCAGAGAAGCTGGACGAGTTTCGTCTATGGGTGTAAGTCATGGACTGATTGTAGAAGTGATGGGGATTGCAGACATGTATCGTACTGGAAGAGATACTGTTGTTACCTTTCTCATCAATTGTGGTCGGAGATCGGGAGGGAGGTTGGAGGGATGCCAGAGCTGGTACGTCTAGTATAGACAGACATGCGCTTGGGGTCACGCATCAAGTATATGTCTGGAAGGAGTGAAGCATTGCTTTCTCTATTCATCCAGAGAACTTGAAAAAATCCCTACGGACATGGCAGAGATGATTGGCTCCGTTGAAGCTTCACAGCAGCTGCAGACCCAAATTTGGAAGGGAACATGGCAGAGAAACGTCGAGGTTTATAATAATGTTTAGTTCTCTACAATCCGATGTGGCCATAACTGTCTGCTTCGAAGCTTCAAAGAGGCAACTAACTGCCCAAACAAACATGACCCGAACAGAACACACTCACAGGCTCCGCAGAGTATCATTGTTTGCACCTCAGACACTTCGATCCTATTCACGAAGATAGGACACGACCCCAATGATATGCGCCTTCTCCAGTCAGAGGGTGTTAGCCCAGCCACAGCCCAGCCACTGTAGCTCACTGCGTCCTCAGAGTCAGAGATAGTTAGAGGCTTCAGAGATGGTCACTCTCTGCCCTCGCCTTTCTCTCGGATTGATGTGGTTTGATGAGGTGGTGCTGGAGGTGGTGAATGCATTCGCTCCAAGTAAGTTACTCGGAAAAAGCTTCTGACTTGAGCTGATCTGATCTGATCTGATCTGATCTCAGCTGAGCTGAGCTGAGCAAGTGAGTGATTAGAGTGCGAGGAACTAAAAACTGAACAAACGCTGCGGCTCTGTTGAGGAGATGGAGCCGTGTCGAAGTGTGTTCCAAGAGAGAACACAGAACCATTCTTCGTCTGCTGCTGCTCTACTTGCCAGCTCTTTTTGCTCACTTTCTTCGCCCGCTTGGCATGGCTTTGCTCTTGTCCACTCGACTCCACTCCACTTTACATGTATCTCTGTCTGTGAGTCTGTCTCCATGGGCCCTGCTGCTGTTTTGCGACTGTGGACTTTTCAACGAGATTCAATTCACTTCACTTCACATCAATGCAAATCATATCTGCTCTAGCTCAGAAACTGGTATGTGCTTTATTTTACGAAATAGTGCACTACTCCCTCCAGTGCCTCTTCTCGCCCAAGGGTGGGGGGAGGGAAGGGGATGATGTCTTTTGAGTCAGACGTGGTTACATTTTTTTTCGACATAGTCACTTTTTTCACTCCCCTGCTGCCACAAACTTTCGACATGGCCGTCGCAATAAACCAATAAACCGACAGGTCGAAGGAACGGGCTCCGACTGGGTCCATGTCAAAAACAAGTGGCCTTTCACATCTTCGTCTTCTACCTTTCCCATCTTATAGATTATACGAGCCCCCCCATATTCCAGACGACATCGGAGTCCGAGCTGGGTTTTGGTTTCGTGTGTTGGTGTGGAACGCCATGCGATGCGATGCGATGCGATGCCTGCCAGAGCGTATGAAAAGAGGAAAGAAGATCAGTGACGACGTCGTCGTCGTCGTAGTTTTGTAGCCCCACCGGTTGGCATGACATGACAGCAGGAGCCTGCACTGCCCTGCAGCTCAGAAGTGCTGCCAGGTAGAGGACGGCATGTCTCGGCTGAGCACAGCAGCAGGAAAGGGGAGGGGAGGGGTAAAAGTACGGAGGTTGGATGGGATACGGGCGAGGGAGGGATCGAAGCAGAGGAATGCGTCGATCATGAAAGAGAGAGAGAGAAAGAGAGGAGAAAGAGAGGAGGAGGTAGGTGGTATGCCAATAATACCACCACGCTAGATCGGCAATCTACAGTGGTATGTTGTGGTAGTGGGGGTCGTCTCGCAGCTCGCAGCTCTCGCTCAGACCACTCAGCTCGAAAAGCAGATGTCATGGCTGACATGTCTCGGTGGTCCGCAGATAGATCGGTGCATCGCATCCCCCGTCTGTCTGTCTGTCTGTCTGTCAGTCCGTCAGTCGTCCCTACACACGACGACTTCGCTTTCCTGCTGCTGCTCCTGCTACTACTACTACTACTGCTGCTGCTGCTGCTGCTGACTTTACAGTACCCTCTCCCTATCCTCCCCCCTCCCCTCCCGTCCCATTTTCTGTTCCAGCCAAAGGCTTCCTCGTGGACTTTGGCTCGAGACGAATTCTTTCTCTGTCTGCAGCAGCAGCAGCAGTAGCAGCAGTGAGAGCAGTAGTGAGAGCTGGTAGCGAGAGAGGCACGGAAGCACATTGTGAGGGCGAGAGAGGGATGCGATCGATCTGATCTGCGATCTGCTGCCACAGTGCAACATGTCCTCATCTCCAGAGCGAGAGTGGGTGCTCTGCTCCCTCTCCTCTCTCCTCTCTCTCCCTCTCCCTCTCCCTGGAACGAGCGAACCTCTGCGGGACCTGAAAAGGAAGAATGGTGGCCGATGACGTCTGCCACACCATCGCCGCGTCCAATCGAATGCATAATTAAACGAAATACTGCTCGAACCGCCCCCGGAGATCTTCCCTCCCGCCGGGTAAGGGCCAGGAGGCTCGTAAAAATCATGCCCATCTGAGATAGCAAATGGCGGCAGCAGATGGGCAAGGAACTGCCTTGCCTTGCCTTCGCTCCCCGTTTCCTCCCGGAGACATCATCAACATCATCACCATCCCCATTCCGTTCCGTTCATGGAAAACGTGCGGAGCTGAGAATCGGATGATTAAAGAAATCGGAGCTCGCTCTCGGTTTCGCGCAGACCGCATCTGCTGGTGCCAGCCTTCTTCTTCTTCTGTGTTGTGTTGTTGCGAGAGTACCGATTCCACTGTCGACGATGATGCGAGCGAGGCCCGCAGAGCGGCATCTTCGCTCGCATTGACGCTGGCAGAGGTGTACGATCGGAGCCATCGAGAGATTTTGGGGCTCCAGTGGAAGCAGCTGCGGCTGTAGATGTCGTAGTAATAACATCAGCAGCAGCAGTAGTAGTATACTGTCCACTTTCCACATCGTATTCGTGTGATCCCCGGCTGGGGGTTTGATGTGCGTGCATTCAGTCCGATGGGGTCAGGGCGCGATCGGAGGGGAGGGAGCATCGTCAGTTGCACTGCAGAGTGGACGCGGAGGATTCGGCTTCATTGGTGTTTCCCACTGCGGCTCAGATGTGGACTGCTGTCAATTCCCATCGGCATGAGGAGAGCAGGCTCGATCGATCGGTCGATCGCTCGCTTAGATCACCATGTACAATCATGCTGGCGTGGGGCTACTGTCTCTCCATACCGACCATGGCTAGGAGGCAGAGGAAAGCAGATGCAGGGATGAAGAAATTCCGGCTTTCTAAAAAGTGGAAGACTTTTAATCGAGATGAAAATTTGCATCTTGTACTCGCCAAAGTGGCCGAGGCCAAGCTCCTCTGTCGGACTCGAGGGTGAGGAAGTGGGTGAAGAAATTCTCGAATCAGTGCGTTTTTCAAGTCGGAGCAGATGTCGAGGCGAGTTGGAAGTTTTTACCGTGTTCATTTTTTCATGATGAGGTGGGGGAGATAGAATCGGAGCTCGCCGACCGAGGAACACAGGCATGTGTGCAGCCATTGAGTGCTAGTGGTGTTGCACAGACATACGTCACCGGTGGGGACTCGTCGGGCGCACTGAGTAAAGGCGAGGATGTGGGTGGCTCTGAGGGAGAGACTTGAGAGCTGGTCTGGTTTGGTCAGAGGCGAGGAGATGGAAGACTTTGGGACAAGTAGACGACAGCAGAAGTAGAGTACTAGCCCATCGGATTACGGCGAACAACGAAGACGAGACGAGGCGATACGAGACTGTCACTTCGTGCTCAAGGAGGAGAGAGGGAGAAATAAAGAGAAGAGAGGACAGAGAGACATCGTATATGAATGAATAACATGAAGTATACACTGGTGTCTTCGAGCACAAAGCGACGCAATCGGTGAATGATGGTAAACAATTCAGAAACCGTGTTCTGAAACCGAAATTATGAGTTAAGAACTCTGGTACATGGAAGAATCCCAGGGAAGACTTCAGTTTTGCCTTCATTCTACAATTTCAATGCCCTACCTTGTGTTCTCTAGAAACCTCAGCAAAAACTGGAAGGGGATCTAAGCTAAAAGCTTGGTACTCTGGAAGGAAGTCCCAAGAAGAAATTGGAGAAGGCGGAGGGTCATATATCCTCTATTCCATGAACTTAATTACTTATGTGCCGCTTGATTGACATTACAGATGTAAGTAGAATGATACAGTAAAATCCTCAGGTTATATAGAAGTTCTGACCATGGAGAAAACCCTGTCATAGATAGAACGGGCAAAAAACTAGGGCCCATTGATTAATTGATTTGTTCTATGTTCAGTTCCAAGCTGGTCTCGCCCTCATCCCCTACAAACCCTGCTGCACAAGAGGATAGTGAAAATTTGTTGGCTCCCGTTACGAGAGCCCTGGGTTGATTTGTACTCAACGGCTGTTCACCTCTCAGAAAGAAATACAAAATCTACTACTAATACTTCATGGCTCACACGTTCGGTTGAGTCGTCTTGTTTGCTTTCTCGGCCGCTCTGGTCCCTGCACAGTTGTGGCACACGAATGGTCAAATTTCTGAAGAGCAGGCGACGAGGCCAACGATACAAATCGACTCCATTTCAGCCAAATTCGTTCTCCAAATCGCAACTTACCGAGACCAATAGCTTCAGATCCCTTCATTATCCGCAATCTCTTCACGGTGTCAATGAACATCCTGCAAGATGAACGTAGCTCCCGTCAGAAGTGAATATATCGATAGAGGAGGCAAAGAGACATTTCTCTTCACTTCGTCGAAGCAAAAAAAGAGAAGCATCCGATTTCCACGACGAACTCTAAAATCACGAAGAGATCAGATGACTCACGTCCAAGGCACATCTCCGACGAGCATGAGATCTCCATCTTGATCTTCGTACGTCAGGACGTAGTCTGGTCCTTGGAGGAAATTGCGCTTAATATCGGAGGCGAGGGTTATTCTGTTCGATCCATTTTGCCCTGAGAACACGACACACGCATTCGTTAACAATAAGCACGCGCTGGAATGCCAAATCTGAGAGACATCAACGCACGACGCCCAAGATGCAGTGGACAAGAACGAAAGAACGAAGGTGAGGCTTAGACTGAGGCTCACCATTGACAAAAGTCCGAAACATCTCATCCAGCATTTGCGAGAGCTTCTCGTAAGAGCTGTTGGTCCTCAGGTCGACCTTGCGCCCGATTGGGACACCATCCATGTGAACCTTCACAAACCAGGAGTTTGACTGGCCAGCCACCGATGGTGTGGACACGGCTGGTTGTTGTGGGGCGGTCTGTCGAGGAGGGGTCTCGGGAGGCACTTGTCGCGGCGTGACGCCCAAGTTCTTCCGGAACGATCGAATGGGAGGCCAACCTACGGCAGGAGGGGCTGCGGCAGCTCTGCATTCGCACAAAACGAACAATCAAGTCAGCCCCGTCACACGACGACGACCATGGCAATCGCACAAATCTGCCTGAAGCCGGGCCACAGAGAACGAGAGCAGCCGGGAGAAAATTTCCTCACCTGGGGGCAGACGAGACGGCGACATCGGCAGCCGGCGACGGGGCGGCCTCGTTCGACGATTGCTGCTTGGTTTCGGCAGGGGCGGACATCTTCTGCTGCTGCTGCTGCTGCTGCTGCGAGGCGGTCGAGACGATTTCCTGGTGGCTCTTGGCTTGGCCGTCCCAGACCTTGGCGTCGACGCCAGCCTCGGACGGGGGCTTGCTCATCGGGGCACGGCCGGGTCTCTGAGAGGGGAAGGGGCCGAAGGAGCCACCGGATTGCTCGAGGCCGATGTGCCATTGGCTGGGGATAGCGGCCTTAGGCCCCCAGGGGTACATGGGCAGGCCGCTCTGCGCCTTCATCTGCTGCTGGCACAGGGCTTTGGCCTCGGCCTCGGACGAGGGGCTGTTGCTGGAGCTCATGGGGCCTCCGCCGGACAGGGGCAGGGGCAGGGGCAAGCTGCGCGCGTCGGAGCCGTTGGCGCTGCGGGCGTCGGAGCCGGTGATGGAGTCGAAGTTGCGCTTGGCGCCGGCCACAGCCCCGAGCTTGTTGGAGGGGGCAGCGGCGTACACGTTGCGCTGCTGCGCGGCGAAGCCCTGCGCCGCGACCGCGTAGCCGGCCCTGCTCTCGAGATCCTGCTGCGCCTGGAAGTCCGAGGCCGTCGACGACACCATGCACTCGCGGTACTTCATCTGGCTCGACCACAATCTGTTGCCCCCGTTGGGCTCCTGCTGCTGCTGCTGCTGCTGCTGCAGCCGTGGGCTCCGCTCGGGCACGCTCTGAAATCTCTGCTGCTGCTCCGGCTGCTGCAGCGCCGGCAGGCACTTCCTCTCGATGAGCGGTCTCTTCTCCGTCATCTGATACGCCTCGTGCTGCTGCTGCTGCTTCTGCCTCTCGAGGTGCTGCTGCTGCTGCTGTTGTTGCTTGGCGACCTGCTGCTGTTGTTGTTGTTGCTGCTGCTCCTGGACCACGGAGGGGCGTTCTTGCTTGTTGCTGATGATGTTGTTGTCCATGTTCGAGACGTCGTCTTGGAAATTGCGGTCTGCCTGCCAACATGGATCGTCTTGCTGTGGTTGCTGCTGCTGCTGTTGCTGTTTGGGGTCGACGGAGCTGAGAAATGGCTTCTTCTCGCTGACTCCATCCTGCGCCGGCCCGCGCTGCTGCGAGTGCAGAGAGATTCCGAGTCGGAGAGACTCGTTCGACGTCTTGCGATCGCCGACTTGCTCGGCGTGCCATTTCATAAGGGCCTCGCTGTCGATGGAGGGTCGGCAGCCCTGGTTGCCCGAGGCGGCATCGGCCATCCCCGCTTGGGACATGTCGCCACCCCCGCGCACGCCATAGCTGGCCAGGCCTCGATCGGCCTGCTGCTGCTGCTGCTGCTCGTTGGCTGCGGCGTTCTGTTCTGCGCTCGAGGGGCTCTTCTCCGCGAAGGCCGTCCCCTGCTCCGTGGCTTGCTGGCTCACCTCCGAGCCTGCGTGGGAGTTTCCACTTTCGAGCACTGCCGGAGCTTGCTGCGGCTGCGGCTCCGAGGCTTGAGTTCTTGGGTACGAGTTCTTGCGGACTGCTGGAGGACCCAATTTCAGATTCAACTCCTCGAAATCATTGCACTCGTCCTGCAGACTGTCCTGGGTGACGGGGCTTCCTCGGCTGGTCGAGGACGAGACCTCCGATAAGCCTAGGAGGTCGTGCTCCTTCAGCGTGGAGCCGCTCTGATTGCTGTTCTGCGGAGAAGCAGCAGCCTTGGCATCCTGCTGCTGCTGCTGATGGCTGGCGGAGGCCGAAATGTTCTGGTTTCCGGAAGCTCCAGATGTCAGAGCGCCATTGTTCACAAGACTCCACGACACGGAGGACGCAGAGCTCAGATTCATGTTGCTGCTACTCCCCGGGGGATTACTAACACTGTGACCTAACCCAATCGCTCCCCCTGCACCTGAACCTCGACTAAGCACGGCAGCATGCGCATTTTGACTCATTGTGCCCAAGCTCGACCTCGCGAGGTGAGAAAGGGGCGAGTGAGGCACGCAGCTGAGCTTCTCTCCCTCGTCGTGAGACTTCTTTCTCTTCTTCGTCTTCGTCTTTCTACAGGCGCTAGCTCGAGTGGCGACCGACCGCAGCTATTGGACTACCCGAGGCTTGCCCTCTCGTACCTCAGAGCGAGATGCTCGAGCTTAAGCGGGCTGAAGAGTGTGGGCAACTTTGGTCCGCAGATTCCCAACCACCTCCACGACCGTCGAAAACTGAAATGCTGCTGATGCTGCCTGTTCCCCAGTCCTCCTGCGTTTCATCCTCCTCTTCCCCGCTCAACCCAGTCCCCACTCCGCTTGCTTTCACCAGAAATCACAGCTGAGAATCGATCGATGAGCCGGCCCTCCGAGCGAACGTCGGTCACTCAATCAATCAAGCCCGCAAATTGACACGCGACCCTGTAAATCATCTACCGCAGCGCCACCCCGGGCTGTCAGGTCCTGATCATTCGGGACCTCGGAATGCCGTCCTTCGCCTGCGTCTGCCCCTGCACCCCTCGCACAATCACTCACCCCACTACTCTCTCCTGCTCGCCTCCGTTTCCCAGGCTCTCGTCTACCCCAACGTCGGACGACGCGACGCACTACAATCAATCCTACCGCGCACTCGGGCAGATGTGCCCCACACTCGTCGGGCAAATTGAACGATTGAGCTGCTCGCTCGTCGCTCCGCGTGAGCTCGCTCTACTTGCTCGCCTGCTTACTCGCTCGCTGTCTGGACGACGAAAGAAGGAAGAGATAAGACCTAGTCTCGCGAGAGATGAGACCACGACGAAAGGAGAAGAAGATAATGAGGCTCAGAGCCTCCCCGGGGCACGGGGTGGGATCGAGAGAGTGGCAGAGAGGGAGGAGAGGGAGAGATGAAGAGAGTGGGCGAGCGCGAGTGACAGAATGGTCGGGCGAGTGAGGAGAAGAAGAAGAGCATGAATGAAATGGCAAGCGGGCGGAGCTGCGGGCAAAAAGAGGTAAGATTGCTGTGGATTGCCACCAGCCCAGACCGGACAGCCCCGGACCTCTACCCCAGCCAGTAGCCAGCCAGCCAGGCCTTCCCCCCACCTCCCCCATTCGTCTCCCCCGCAGCCCCTCCTTCGGCCCTGGCCCTGGCCTAGCCCTTGTCCTGCCACCGGACTCCACTGCCCTGCCCCGTGACGCTCGACCGGTCGCGTCGTGATTGCCCCTCGGCGAGGATGCCTTGACGCTCGACCGGTAAGGTCGTCATTGCCCTTCGGCGGGGATGCCTTGACGCTCGACCGGTAAGGTCGTGATTACCCTTCGGCGGGGATGCCTTTACGTGGGGTAACTAGACTAGGCACGAGGAGGGACCGCGGGGGGGAGGGGGGGAACCGTTTTCACCAACTTCTTGCATTCGCTCGCTCTGTCTGTGAACGGTCCTCGTCCACGAACCGGATGCGAGCAGCGGGGCGACTGTCCGCGAACTCCGTCGTCCGCAGAGACTCCCTTTCTGGGGGCTGTCTTTCAAGCTGGCTCCAGCAGGCGTCCCGGACCGCCCGAGCCTCGCACCGGGCCTGACTCCCACGCGCCACGAGGAACACAGGCTCGGGCGCGAGCCCCCGGAAGAAGCAGCGAAGCATCCGGGGGAGGATTATACGTCGGATCTCGGCTCCGACCGATGGGCCTCGCGCCTCCTTGATTATCCCGTCCCTTTCTCTCTCTCTATCTCCTGCTTTCCAACAAGAGCGATCCCATAGGCTCTCGAGGACCGTAAATTCGTGCGGGTAAGATTTTGATCTCGTATCGCCCTCGCATGAGCATGGTAACTCCCGCCGGGCCGCGCCGGGCCGGGAGGGAAGGTAAGAGGGGGGGGGAAGGGGGCGTGAGAGTAACACGAGCGATTTACTAAGACAGGCCTCGCCAAAAGGGGGAGGGGGAGACAAGCGCAGTACGTTGTCTGAAATTAGGCTAATTAAGCAAGATTACGGTGGGAATAGCCGCGCGGTAAAAAGATGGCGAGCGAACGCAGGTGACGTCGACAAGACGGCGAGGGCAGGCGACGAGCGGAGGGCGAGGGAAAAACGTGCGGGCCGTCAGAGCGTTAGGGTTCCTGGAAATTTATAATAACTGCAGTAAAGCAGGTGAGTAAAGATTGACTTATTGAGTAGCGCGAGTTATTGTCCAGTTACCAGCCAATTGATTACCGGTAACTCTACCTTTGTCTGCTTCTGCTCCTGGGTGCCGAGCACCCATCCCATCCCATACAGATATCATACATGTGACTGGATGTATCGAGTATATGTACATCCATGGGGGAACGAAACTCTAGAAAGGTGGCGGGCAGCAAGGGCTTGGAAAGGAGGGGAGGTTTCCCGGCACCGGCAGCGGGCGTCGGTGTTGGGCCACCAACCGGCGAAAGAGGGGACAGAACGCCGGCGAGTATTGATTGACCTCTCGTAGGACCGGAACCTGTCCTACAGGAGGGCGAGGTCGAAGGATGCCGAGTTTTCTAATGCTCTCAGATTCCTTCTCCTTTCCCCACTATTCTGAATAATTGCCCCCTCCCAAACTCATATCTAATCTTTCATTAATAAGTCTTCTCGCTTCTACTTCCGGTATTTTAAACCCGATGCCAATCTCCTTTCTGGATGGAAGTCTTTTTGTCTAAGATTAGCACCTCTGGCCACGTTTCCCATAATATCCCCTTTACTATCTTGGGCTACGTGAACCAACGTAGATGAGGTATGGAAAATGAACCTGAGAAACGAGGTAGTCGTATTATAATGTCCACCAAAAAATTTAATCTTGGCCAAATTTGTCCAAATCGAGAACATGGGATTCCATACAAAACATGTCCAGGAATCTTTTCCGATCGGTTGATTTGTATAACCATCCTTTCCAAGTGTGAATCAGCTTAGACTGTACATTTTTTAGTTATGTCTGGCTTTGTGGATTATAAACTCACGACTTATTTGATCTTCATATTTATTGGACTTTCAAGGTGCTTGTCGATGGATAGACAACTAGCACGATATACTAAGCAGACAGAGGATAAGCCAAATGCTTCCATTACAAGAGGGTGCACATTCTCCAAAAAAACACGACTTGTTTGCACAGGAAATTTGAAGCATAATACAATTAGGAGAAAAGGTAGGAACCCTGCTTTCTTTGAAAGTAGAGAGACTGCGCCTTTCTCAAGAATATGACTTTCTTTTCTCAATGAGTACGATAATAAGACCGTGAAAATGACAGATAAATCACGGTGACTTTGCAGCTTAGATTCGAGGCAACCACCACGTTGTAACTGAAATACGATTCTAGCGGTATTTTTTTACTCTAATAATCTCTTTTTCTGCAACGAGATGAATAGTCTTGAAGACCTGGAAAATTACGTTCCAATTGTGACTTAATGTCGGACAAAAATTTCCCACCCATTAGCAATAACTGGTTGCATGATCCCAACAGAAATTTAGGATTGGAAATTGATATTCAAATGACAAGGATTTTCTTATTGCTTTTGTTCAGCCCTCTTTGGTCTTTTATTCATAGCGTTGTTCTAATCCATGCACGCGATATTTCTTTCTCTAACAAACACTGAAGTAGCATGCTCTAGTTGCTGATACTCATGTAGCTTCAGCTTATTCTGCCATACGTCCGATTACTAACATGCCTGCATCAGGTTGTGGTTTAACTTTGAGAAGAACAAAAAGTACAACTTTAGAATCGTACGACTTACAATATATGTACTCACATAAGCGAACACTACAACAGATTTTCATGAGTATACTATCGAGTTAGTTCATTCCTAAATTTCATTCAACCCTCTCAAAACTTCAAAAATATTATGTACAGTCATGTGCAGACATTTAGAACAGAAAAATGTACGTCAATGATTTGCAGTCCACGAAGCCGGTATCTGACTATCTCTTGCATTTGCCTCCATATCTACTTACTGCGTAGATAATACATATCGTTGCTTAATATGTTACTGAAAATATTTTTCCTTGTAATAAAGTTTGAAATCAATGATCATCGTATTTCATATGTGGAAATTTGATATAAAATACTTGAATTTATTTTCATTGAATTGCAGCTTCATTTAAAAATTTTAATCTAACATCTGGAACACTTATCTTATGCAGAATGAGCTCCGACTCCAATTCGTATCAGCGATTTTTGAGCAAAATCCAAAACACTCGCACATGTGAAACACTTCAGCAATTTTTTAGACAAATTCTCGAGTTGGTTCCTAGTGGTGGTTCGTGGCTATGGAGTTATTCACCCAAGACCTTCAAGTAATGGTGTAAAAAGAATATGGTCAAATGACCAAGACTTTGGCAATAAGCTAACTACAACTAAAGTGAACGATTGTTCCTTGTTTTATTCCTCATCCTTTCATGTGATTATGCGATTTGTTAGACATACTTAGCTTGATAAAGGACATGTTGTGTCATAAAGAACCTTGCAAAGTTGAGTTTATCGAGATAATTTAGCATTAGCTGTTGGCCTCACAGACATTCAGTCCTGGCCCTTGACCATGGACCAGACTAGAATATATTCAATGATCGTGATCGCGGTCTTCCATTGAAGAGCAATTTTTAGAGACTGAAGCCAACATGCAACATCCAACAAGCGTCGTCAAGTAGTCAAGATAAATTGCGACGGGAATCGTTGATTAGTGTTCAAGACAATCACTCCAGCTAAGGAAGCAGTTTTATGGTGTGATTTTAGCCGAGCTTCTAAGGACAAGGCAAATGCACCTCATGCATTTGTTCTGTGGTGCCCCAGGGTGACGTCGATGTGGGCAGAAGGGAAGAGAGTCGTCGATCATGGACAAGGATAGGAGAGCATAGGAGCAATCATTAAAAAATTGAAGCGACGGAATGCACTATGTTATTGGGGCGATCAAGAAGCAAAAGCGAATCAGGCTCACAATCTTTCTCTTATCTTTCTCTTATCAACCGTACACGATTTCATTATGTTGCAACGTGAGGAGCAGTTTTTTGAATATGATAACGTTGAGTTGCAGAAAGATGAGGATTATGCGTCCCTTGGGATGTGCCTTTCCGTAGACCTGGGAATTCATTTCGCGTTGGACTTATGAGAAAAAATATTGACGTGAAATTTTATTTGGATAAAGGAAGTGTGATCCGAAGAAACCGTGGATGCCACAGACATTTTTTCTATAGGATGCAGATATAAGAGGGATGTGGTGGAGGAAAAAGAGGGTTTTCTTGAAAGAATGTTCGAAGAATGATGAGAGGGCCAAGGCATCAAGGACTTTTGTATTACGTGGATAAACCGCATCGAACATGTTGAGCAAAACAGAAAAGAGGGAGATAAGAGAAATCAACGGTAGAATAAGAAGAGCATAAAGCGGAACAAAAAAGGACAAGGAAACATTCGGCGAACAATGGTGCAAATAAAAAGAGCATCTAAGGGGGGCGACATGCGTAAGATACACTTATTGATTGTCTTATGGAGGGGAACGCAGGGAACAAACATAGGAAAAAGTCGGTATCGAGGGGTGAGACTGGCGACCCGAGGCCCGATAAAATAATAGTTTTTGGTGGGCTCAACAGAAAGGCGAGGGAGCAGACAAGCAAAAAGGTCACGAATCAACAGTCGCCCCGCTCGCTCCCCTTCCCTCAATCCCTCAATCCCTCAATCCCCCATCTGCATCTCCAGATGTGGGTGCTGCTGACGTCGGGCCTCATGAGTTTGCGTGATGCGCAAATGAGCTCAGCCTCCCTTTCATGGGAAGCGGGAAACACTTTCTCCGCTTCTCTGCTCCTCCTCCTCCTCCTCCCTCCCTCCGTCCCTCCCCCATCATCTGCAGTAAAGCTCCATCGATCTTTCTTTTATTTTGTCCCCTCCCTCGTGCTTCGAAATCCCCAAAGCCAAGGCAAAGCGCAGTAAGTGTCCGGTCCCTCCAGCCCCACTACCTCCTCCCTCCCTCCC